GCTAATTGCAAATAGCGCAGCTGATTGGAATAAGTTATATTCAGGGTTTCCGCCCATCAATGCCTGATTGACAGAGACAGCATGAGTAAAGAGCGCAGCACACTACAGCGGGAGTGGCGTATCTCGCCAGGCGCACAGCAACATCTTTTGATGCGTTCGATCATCAACTCCATCTTCAAATCCTCCATCTGCTGAACTCGAGCTGCTTTTTCTCTCCTCATTACATATCAGATTGGAAATATATTTACTTTTAATAGGAAAAAAACATTTAAAAAATAATGCAAATGTGACATATGTGAAAAATCCAGACCTCCATGGGTTAATGCATTTGATTTCCATTGATCATTTGTGTGTGATTTAATTGTCAGTGCAATCAGCTATGTAAAGAACAAAGAGTTTAATGAGAATATTTCATTGAGTCTGTAGGGTCCAGCACGATAGTCTAATGACGGTGTCTACTGGTGGATGAAGGTTCAGCATGTTCAGTCTTTCCAGTGCACAATGTTGATTTACTTTAAACTTCACTCATATCTGACTCACATTTCAGCATGAGGTGGTTTAGAATATTAATATATTTATCCTCGTATTATCTGACTCCATTCATAAAACATTGACAAGATTATTTAGTTCCTTTAACATTACTTTAGATTATGATTGAATATTCTCTTTGGTTCATTATTGTATGTTATTCTCCTTCATTCGGATTCCCATAACATCCTGAGTCTTGTACCGGCCGAGTATACAATCTCTTAAGCACAAGCGTGTCAGTATTGGTTACTAAACAGTGGCGATTGACCGCTATCCTAAACAGGCAGAACTCTACTTACTCAGATTAGGATATTTTTATGCGGTCGCCATAGATCTGCTACCTCCAAAATCAAACAGAGCCATTTAGTCATATAATGATCATTACTATAGGATTAAGCAGACCAGTTGTACTCCGTCTACAGTGTTTTAGTCCGTTACTAACCTGTACAGGGGCTTGTGGTGTTATGGACTTAGCATAATCTACTAGAGATAATAACACAAACTCTGTGTGAATAATTCAAAACATAATTTAATAGCCAGGTAAATGTGTATTATGCCAATTCATTCCGTCAATTTATAAACATCAAATCATCACAGATAAATCCAAGATTAAAAGATGCAGACCTGACTTCAAAATGTACACAGCGTGGAGCATGAAGAGCTCACACTATGGGCTGATCTGGACAACAGAATCGCGCAGAACATTGTAGAAACCTTCCCTTAAGTAGAAAATCCAAGAATCCCCTCCAGGAAAGGGGTTTGTGAACAACAAAAGGCATTGCATT